GTCCAACCACGGTTGAACCAAGACTCGGACTATGTGCCTTCGCCATTAAATCCAACGAGCTCGACCTTGCTCGAGCTGCAAGGATGGACGCCTTCGTCCTCAACTTTAGCAAGTTCAACCACAGTTGAACCGAGACTCAGGCCAAACGCCTTCATCTGCAAAGCCCGACCTCCAACAAATCGGAGCGCAGGGTAGGCACCCTCTCCATTCAAGTAAGTCCTCCTAACTCGAATTAAGATTCGGGCCACGTAAAGTTCGGCCCCGGTCAAACTACGAGGCCGCGTTTTTTACTATCACGACCGGTAGTTCGACCGCGCCCGAACTGGGACTAAGGCTAAGCGCGCTATCGCCAAATAACGGCTAAGACTCGCCCACACCGAGTTGAAAAAACAAGGCCATCAATTATATTATGTCTAAGGCCATCACCACCAATGGTCGACCTAGATTCGACTGCGGTGGGTAAACAGTTTGACGACAGTCGAAGTTGCCTTTATGGCTAAGGCCGCCGATTCCATCACGACTAAAGCCGACGATCTAAATTCGACTAGGGCCGCCAACGCCGACGGTCAACAAAATAAGCACAAGGCAGGCAATAGAAAAGAAAATTTATATATTTACAAAGTCAATGACGGGTCATCCCCGCTTACACCCGGCCAAAGTCGATCAATACAAGAAATAAAAAAAATAATAATACAAGAAACGTCTAAAACGCCAAGCGGCGAACAAGACAAGAAAAATGCACAGACATCTTTCTACTCGGTGCCGTCTGCGCCATCGTCTGCACCAGCGTCAGCCTCTGGCGTCGCCGCGTCAAAACCATAGTCGGCACGTGCCTCACGAGCCTTCTGACGCGCCCCCTCGAAAGCAGCTTCGGTCACGACGCCAGCCTCCCACAAACTCTTATATACATCACGTTGGGCCTCGGCAAAGACCCAAAGTTCTCGAGCCTGGCTGGAAGAAGCGACCTGATCCCGTAGCCGCTGATTCTCTTCCTCTAAGGCTGTGATCCGATCCGCCATGACCTGGGCGTCCTGCTCAAAGACACCAATCCGCTCCTCGAGACTCGCTTCTCTAAAGGCCGCAGCATCCCTTTCCAATGCTCGTTGGGATTCGTGCACGCGGATAGCCTCCTCCAACGCCCCGGCCCTCGACGAAGCATCCCTCACTTGAAGCTTCAATGCCGCGACCTCACCCTCCAACGCGGTCACTTTCCCGCTCCATGCCGCAGCGGCCTCCGCCGCCTTGGCCTCGCCCCGGCGCTCGTACTCAGCTGCGATCCTCTTTACCGCTTCGAGCTCCTCATCCTTTCGGCGGAGCTGCTCCTCGAGAGCACTCGTCCTGCCAAGTATTTGCTGCATCTGAAGCTCCCGCCTCGCCAGCTCTTCGACCAAGGCCCGGCTGCGAGGATCATTCCTCAAGCGCACGCGCAACTCTCGGCACTGATCTCGGTAGCGGCGATACTTCTCCAGCGCCCGCAAAAATATCCCCGAGCGGACCTTGGCTCGACGGATGCTCTCCACCTCCAACAGATAAGACTGCAAAGCAAAGACAACGATTAGAATAAAAGAATAAACCTAAGGCAAAGAAGAAGCGAACCGACGTAACAGTACATACCCTCAAGCCCATCACGGCTACTTCATTCATCAGCCCGACATCCGTAACGCCCCTCAACGACGCATTCTCGGCCTCCGAGCATAGCAGCTCGAACTGCAGCACCAAGCTTTCCCCTTGGAGCAATAAGTTCAATTCCGTGGGAACCTCGATGAAGCGAGATCGCCCCCCTGCACGCACCGCTGAATTGGTGGAACCTTCCTGGAACATACGGACGTCGTCGGGATCCAAGTCGGATTCAGACTCATCCTCACCCCCTACAGCATCTCCTCCCGCCGCAGCCGCCGAAGGAGCGCTTGCCTCACCCACATTAGCAGCCGTTGAGGAACTACCTCCCGTCTCAGCGACTGGAACCCCCGATTGAGTCGCCGAAGCGACAGTATCATTACGACCTGAGCCAACCAGGGCAACACCCAGTGTTTGTCCGCCCTCAAGGGCAGGCGCCGCAGCCGCACTCCTCTCCGCGTCCGCCGGGGGGGAGTCCAAATTAATTACCACAGGAGGAGCCGGCGCGAACGCGACCCTACGCCTTATCAACGGCCTCTCCTCCTCCCCATCTGATGACGATTCCGCTCTAGGGCGCACGACCCCCGACGGCCCCTCATCCCGAAGCGCGGCCCGTACCGGAGAAGGAACCGCTGAAGATTCAACTGATGCCGCCCTCGGTATTGAGCGCGACACAGGCGCCGCAGTAAGACGAGCGACTGCACCCGACCGACGAAAAGCCAACTGAGGGGCCCTGACGCGGCGTGCCCTCCCTGATCACAGGAAAACAAAGTTGATGAATAAAGTTGAAACAAAGCGGAACAGAAGAAGAAATCAATTTCTTACCTGCCACGGGCCTACGGCCATGCCTCTCCTAAAAAGACGCCCATGTGCGTATCCCCACCGTATGGGGGAGTACGACCTCGACCCACTCACGTATCCAAGACAATGGGGCCGGCGGCGACCTGTCAGCTACAAAAAGCGACACGAGTTAACGTTCATGATCACAAATCATAAAGAGGGGAAGAAAAGGGAATTCAACCACTAAAGAACTTACGTGCATGGTTCCAAGCCTCTGGGAACCCAGTAGCATCCGCCACCAGATGCTTGGTCCTGATGTAAAAGAAGTGCTCGAAAGGGCGAGGGTCGACCTCGTCGTCCAATCTCATGACCAGGCCCCTCGACCCACGAGGGCACGCCTGAATCATGGTGCCACAGACTCTCTGGGGAGCGTAGAGACTCAGCACATGCTGCAGCGTGACCTCCCTTCGGGCCAATTCCGCGTACTTGATGAACATTGCCAACAATTTGTAGAGGGAAGGAGTGAGTTGACCCGGGCACACCCCGTAATAACGGCAGAAATCCACCACCAGCATTGGGAGCGGAATCTTGAACCCCAACCTGAAAGGATAGGCGTAAAAAAAGCAGTATCCCCCGCGGTCGGTGTGGACCCTCTCCTCGCTTCTAGCAAGAATGATGTCTGCATGGGTGGGAATGACCCCCTGTTCCCGTAATCGGGCCATCCCAATCTCCCCCATTAACGGGGCTTCATCCACCGGTTCCACTCCACCGTCGACAGTGAAATCAATCGCTGGACCTCCGGGCCGAGGAACTACCTCGTCAACCGACGGAACTTCTCCGGTCTCTATCTGTTCTGCACCTCCCATTGCCGGAGGTGGCCCTTCAACTACCGGAATGTCTATCGGAAGAGCATCGTGGGAAGAACTGCCTGTCATTGTTGATCTACTAAAGACAAAGGTTATCACAATCAAAGGAAAGAAAGGAGAAGATGAATTTGCGGAATGAAAAAGTTTCCTCAGAATCTCTCTCAGATGAACAATGAAGATATGAGAAATGAATGCCTCAACCCACCTTTATAGGCAACATAAATGGCTTTCGCGAAACCCAATAGCCATCATCAACTGCACGACCAACCGTAAAACGGTTCGGTTCTGCCGAAGCAAGCGTCATTATGACAAGCTCCGCAAAACGACTTCTCAGCCATCCGCCAACGTACCGCCGTCAGAATAATCGCTACGGCCTGCGAACATTGAAAGAATGTGCCGTACGCCTTCAAAATTCTGGACGTGACCAAATACGTACCCGGCGCATACTCATTCCCTACGGCCATCTTCAATATATGAAAGGCTACGACCATCTCCAACGTGTAAACGGCTAAGGCCGCCGCCGAGCACGTATCAAGCGTGCCCTCATACTCCTCGGCCGCACAACATACGACCCGTCCGCCACGGCCGACGGGTATGCTTCCAAAACAAACGTAGGGATCAGAGCACAATGCAGCTCGACCTCACTCGAAGTAAGTTAAAAGGGTGCCTTCGCCCAAAAGGAAAGTTCGACCTCGATCGAACGATGACTTGATAGCCCAATAACAGGATACTAATACTCTACAAGGCTAAGGGCCACCGCCAAAAAGAACTCGGCTTCGACCGAAGCAACAGTCGACATCTCCATCCGTGTCTCTCGAAATACAGCCAATAGAATCCGCTCATCGAGCTCGGCCAAGGCCCGACCTCAATAAGCGGAGGGGCTAACTGTATGGGTCAGAATTCGACCCCACGATAATTATCGAGGCTAATCCCGTATTAAGTTAATTCATGATTAATTAATGGCACGACCACTCAGAATTAACGATGTTCAACCCGCATCTGGTTCGATCGACAAGGCCATGGCCTATCCGCCACCATAAAGGCGAGATCCCAACGCGGTCACAGCCACTTATCGCCAGATCACGAAGCCCACAGCTATAAATACTAAGAGTGGAAGCCCTAGAAAGGGGGCTGCTTCTTCACCACTATGGAGAAGAGAGAGAGAGAAGAGAAAAACACACCCATCTTATGGGAAGTGAAAACACCATTGTAAGGCTCTGAACCTCTTCATGGAGAGGCAGACCAAACCAATATTATCAATAAAGGCTTCCAATGTTTCTCCCCCTAACCTTGAGTACTTATTTTCATGTTCTTCGCTTGGTCCAATGGATTATTATGATTTGCTATAATTTTCCCGTGATTTATTTTGATTATTTTTTAGCTTACAAAGTATATTGTTAACTTTTGAGTCAAACAAGTTCGAAACTTGTTTCGATCATTTCTATTGGAGTGTCATTAGAAGTAAAATAAGAAAGAAGAACTTTAAAAAAAGTCCGACTATAAAAAAGGTGTCCGTCACTTTTGAGTAGACTAAAAAGGAAAAACTATTAGTATATAAAATTAAAACGGAAAGTAAAACAACAATAATAGTTATATCTTTTTCCCAAATGAAATCAAGTAAATATATGAATTCTAACAATCCATTTAGCTTTTTTTGGACCCATTCCAACATTGAAGGGAGAGGGATAAAGAGAAAGCACATTAATAGCTCAATGAAAACCTGAAACCAGCCAGGTCTACCGCTAAGCTCCACAACCAATTTTTGTGCTATAAAAAGGAGATAAAGACAACAACTAAAATATAAAGTCTGAAAACCACGATTCATTAAAGACCTACTACGTATGTATAAACGAGAGATTAGGACGTACACAACTCTCGACCCCAATTCAATTGCAATAACGGAGAAGTGAGTTTAAAGTAGCACATATATATATACAGGCATTCGGAAGTGTCAATGATCCCAAAGAGTTTCTTCTCTGTAACTTTTTTATTGGGTGGTTCCTGGGAGGAGTATTTCACCTTAAACAAACACTGCAACAAATACCAAATCACAGACAGGACGACGAACAGCACTCGAAAGTAATCTCTCATTCCCCTGGTACAATTCACCTACATGCTTGTGATGGCAACTGCTACCTAAACAGACACATTTGCAGCAAGGACTTTCCTCTTCTGCGACTTGGAATGATTCCGCCACATTCATAACTCAGTGCAGGAAGTCCCTCATTGGATCATCATGGAGGACCTTTTTCATCCTATAGGCTTCCATTTCTTCCGGTGTAACCTACAAACACAAATGTGGTAAGAGAACAAAAAAATAAAGATAAAGAAGAGAGTCAAAAGCTAAAAATTGAAGATTTAGATGTACCTCATCATTGTACTTCACATTATATTTCCTTTTCCTTTCATCCCTTACTTCTCTTCTCCTTTCATCCTCCTGCTCAGAGAAAAAATCCAAAATTTTAGACCATATTAGAGCATCCAGATTTAGTGAGTTACAGCCAACTGAGAATCCGTATTACTGCAGATGGATCCACTCAGGCTATTGTATCTGCCCAACCCCTATCCGTCTGACTCGGAAAGAGCTCCTCTCTCTCTGTGTCTCCCTGTGAGGTTCTCTCACCCCCTTCTGATATCATTCTTTGCGCACATGAACTATTGATCCGCCCCCAAACATAGCAAATTACATTTTGTTTCCAAAAATAAAAGAGGCAAAGGAAAGAATTCATCATGATAACAGTGCAAGAGTGGCATCGAGGGTGGCAAGAACAGGTTAAAGGGGATACCTTTTTAAGTGCTTCAGCCAGTTTTTGCTCGTCCAAAACCAAATCGTCAGGTACTTCAGTACCCCAGGTAGCGAGCCTCCTCTCCTCAACCGGCGCATGTGTGTCTAGATTGATCACATATTGATGACAAGATAATGAATATTCAAATTAAGACAGATAGCTACACTGTGCAGAAGTATCCAAAGTAACAGGATAAAAAAGCTGAGACTTGGAAATCAGACATTTCACAGACAATTGTGTCGTCGTACACAATTCTCTCCCAATAGCTTGTAAATATATCGCACATACTGAATAAAGAAGATGGTTGAACAAAGGAAAGAAAATAACTCCTTTGACTTATGTCAAGGTCTACTGCTACATTGACCCAAGAAAAACTGTACAAGGTTGCTAATTCAAGTATAACCAAGTCCTTGACCAAAGTTCAAAGAGAAGGAAAAATAAAGGCGAAATGTCAGCAATCTAGAGGAAGTACGAAATACAAATGCTCTGTAATTATAGTCTTAACATCTAATCCTGAGCATATATTTCTGACACATAATACAACAACAATGTCTCAGTCCCAAACAAGTGAGGGTTGGCTACGTAGGTCTCACTGGCAATGTTTCCCAGTTAAATTCATCTCAACCCAACATCATAAAAAATAAAAATAAAAAGGGCAGCATGCACAAAGCATCACGCGTTCACGCAGGGTCCGGAAAAGGGCCGCACCCCAAGGGAGTGATTTAGATCGTCTGCCCTAATGCAATCATAAAAATAAAAAGTACCAGAAGTTCTCTATATTTCCTACTGGCATAAGAATATCTAATAGTGCTAAAAGACTCCTAGAAAGCATAGGACCTAAAGTAAAACATATTAACATGATCAAAAGATATTCCCAACTAATTGGTATAGCATATACAGATCTTTTTCTTCCATTGTCTCCTTTAGATCGCTAAGTCTGCATTAATTCCAAGAGATTGTAGGCCTTTCGAGACAACTATCTTTCATTGATTAGAACACATACAAAAAGGAAGAGCAAAAAGCCATACACTGACCTTATCTTGAATAAATTTCACTCACATTAGTATCAAAAAGCTTTTTTATTTCCTTCAATATAAAAACAAAAGCCACTACTTCCTCTATCCCATTATAGGGTCAGTTTTTTTAGCATGAAAACCGAGGAGATTAAACAGTTGGCAGACTATATTTATAGTAGCATCAATAGAACAAAAAATAATAATAGCACTGTTAGAAGAGAAAGTTAAACTAATTGGTTTAATCAAAGGACAAATTCCTTCAACAATTTAGTACTTAATTTTCAGTTGTTTAATGATAAAATTCTCAGAATCTTGACCCAAAGAAATCCCAGAACTTATTAATAGTGTATCAATCAGAAAATACACGGTATCACTAATACGTCGGATTTCTAACTCCAACTCAAACCCTTCCATCTAAAGCAAAAGTATAGAAAAACCAACGGTATTTCAAAAATAAAGAAAGCGAGAGAAAGCATGGCCAGTTTCTTGCTAACCCCCCCCCCCCCCCAAAACAAACCCCCTCCCCTGCGGACCGCACAAAACTAGAGCCTTGAGTACCATGTTCATACTGCTGTATTTTACCAGTATGACAAAAAGAATGTGCTCTAAGAAGAGAGTTGATGATATCATTTAATATTACGTCGAGGATGATGTAGAGTTAACAATGTGGTTTTTTTCTTTTTTGCGGAGGAAAGTAACAGGTAACTTCAAGAAGTATTATGATGGCCTCCCTTGACTTTCGGGTGATATACATACAAATTAAAAAGCAAACTACAAAGAATTGTGAAAGTTTGGTTATTAGGAAAATGGAATATCATACTGATTAAAGCGTACCTACTAATTTTTTACAAGAGGGAGCAACAACCTAAGTTCAATAGACAACACTAACCTTCAGCCAACTCTTTGCGAGCAATATTGGCCTTCATAAGATCAGCAGAAGCTTCAGCTGCTTCAATTCCGGCAGCACCTGTGCAATAGCTGTTTCTGATCGTTTGTTTGCAGCATCTGTAACCCCACTGGTGATCCTTCCACCATGAACCCCAAACCGTGGTGTGGTTATTGATGTAAACATCCTCTTCATATTTGCTCCTAGGGAGAGACATCTCCTACAGCAAGCAACTCACAAATTCAGCCAAGCTACTCAAAAATTATGCCAAAACAAATGAATGAATCTAGCTTACATTTTTATAGACATTATCCACTCTTAAATGATATTTCTACTTCAGCCAAGCTAGATATTCTAATTCTACCCTATTTCCTCGGAAGATGGAGTAAATGTTTCTTCACATCCCACTGACTAGTCTGAAAACTTCAGTGGTGTGGACATTCCTCAAAAGAGAGTAGGATTTGGAGACAGTATCTGAGAATTGCGTCAGTTGCCGCTGCCCTGATGATGTTAATTTAAATGAGGATAGCTCTCTAAAGTCTTGAATCCGACATTAGAAAGGCAGATGATAGTTCTTTGAGGTATCTGTATACATTCAGTTTTAGATGAGTAATTTTTTAAAAGACTTCAATAAGTTATATTGCTGGAGGATCTTAATATAACAGATTGTTTCAGTTTGGATGAACTTGGGTAGGATAAGAATGGAAATAGCTGCATTCTTCATAAAAAGATGTAGAAACGCCTCTGATTGAGGTAAAAAAAGGCCGTACGATTAAGACTGGATTGCTGGATACGATGCAAGGTGAGGATGATCACTTAGATTATTTTGTTCTAGATATTTGAAGTAGGAAATAATGATAACGTTATTATATTGCTGGAACTGAAAGGTGAAGGGAACTTAAACCCTGCAGAGATTGGATACTGATGCGGTTCCCAGAAGCCCCCAAAGCAAGAGGATAATGAAAATTAAACAGTTTGTTGAATCCTATTTCACTTGCAGAAGTAAATTAACAATGGAATGAAGGAGAATGAACCCAAATGAATGCAATCCAACCAGCCCACAAGCTGTTCATTACAGCTTTGCCAGTTATGAGCTGTGAAGTACAGCTTAAAGAAACAGCCCAGAACATTCTGCTTCTATCTTTGTCAGGTAACTGACAAAGAGAAACGTTATTTCATTATTTGACTCTCTTCCTCTCTTCTTCTAGCTGCAACATGAGCCCATAACGAGCATTAAAATATACAGCTCAACTGTATTGACTAAATATTGTAAAATATACACCAAGACAGTTATCCATGTAACTTTGGAGTCGAAATCAATTTTTTAGAGTAGATAGGAAAACATAACTTAAAAGATTTGCCATGCTCAAATGTTAACCTTTAGCTGGTATGATCAGAAAATACCATAAAAGCCAATCATAGTTGGAAAGGTTGTAAAAGCATCTGATCATTTTATGTCAATATCTTGAAGTAACTATATTCCTGATCTTTCTTTTCAAAAACTATATCCCCATACTATTTCCTTAAGGGGGCGAGATGGTATAAATAATTGTGCATGGCTTGTCTCATATGGCAAATATAAATGTACACATTCAAGCATTGGGCATGACTCATGCATCAAGCATCTACTTAGCTAGTCTACACATGGAAGAAGGTTAAGATGTATATAAATATTTAATATATACCACTATGGTATGTAATTCATCCCCAACAACAACATACCCAGTATATTCCCACATGTGGGCTCTGGGGAGGTAGTGTGTACACAGACCTTAACCCTACCTAGTGAAGGTAGAGAGGCAAAAATTGCGAAGTGACTCATGCATTAATATCAGCTTTTGATGAAAGAATTACCTGGCCCTTCACAATCCTACCAGCACAATCATATTCAACTTCTCTCTCACTCTGACCCAACAGTAGTTCTCTTGGGAGTATTTCTTCACTAGCAGCATTACCATACTTCTCCATGATATCCTCCTTTGTTTGTGACTTCAGTTTCTCCTTGTTAACCTTGTAATTTTTGTAAAGCAGTTCTGCTTGGGATGGAGCTGCTTGCATATGCACATCATGACCCTTATCAAAAGCTTCCCAAGCGTGAATATTCAGCTGTTTGAACTCCAATGCTTGACCACTAACTCTATTTTGGTTATCTCCCTATAAGAGGAAACAAAAAAGGATGACTGAGTAAAAAAAAAACATAAACCATGAAATCAGTACTATTTGGTGGACCAGAAGTGAACTTACAGCATAAAATTTTTCATTTGGATCCATATCAGGAAGAGGGTCTTCACGCATGGACCGGGTCTTGGGATCATAATGTGCAGAATTGACATCAAGATTAAGAAGATATTTTGCTGTATCTTCCCGGATACGTAGATTCCTGGACAATGCAGATGCATCAGTAGCTTGATAAAGTAACACTCAGGCCGATATGTGTACTATGTGCTTTCTACATAGTACAAGTCAGCCATTCAGTTAACCCCTCATGGCTACCACGCCCCACCAAAAAACCCCATGGACCCCAAAAGTAAATGGGCAGGAAGGTATCAAAGATGAAAAGATATTACGAAAGACGGACCTAACAGTCCCTGTGCTTCCACCACCAGTGGTTCGTACACGCTTCTCAACTTTTGCAAAATCCATCTGCTTGCTTTCATCAACCTTGGCTTCATCTACCTTCAAAGCATCTTCAAAATCTTCATCTTCGCTATCGCCTCTTTCTTCATCCTCTTTGTTATTTTTCTCCTCCAACTTTTTTAGTTGTTGATCTTTCAGATATTTCTTTCTTGCTTCATCCCTTGCTTCATATCGTTCAATGATATGGGCATAGGAAGCAGCATCATAACCATTCCAACGGTCCCTTTTACCATCATAATCCAGCTCAAACTGTTCTACCTTCTCATCAGGAGCAATATTCTTTCCCGTCCATTTTGCTCCTAATTTGCGGGGCCTATCCATGCATGACTTAGCATCGTGGGTCATTGCTCCACAGCTGTGCCAAGCACAAAAAATTCAGGGAATCATGTAAAAAATAGCATATTGTGCAGTACTATTTCGACCTTGATGAACAATCACAAAAGATTACTAAAGATTGGTCATTTCCGGAATCCAAAAAAATTGTGACTTTCCTATTTATAGAATTGGAAACAGAAGCTTTCCCAAGTAAAAAGAACAGACCAAGAACTGAAGTAAGTTTAGCTAGCCATATAATGCCAAACAATAAGATTCAAATTTCCAGATCAGAGGAATCCCTTTTGATTGAAGTTCTCTTTGACCATATATAGGCAAGAGATATGATTTCTACACCAATGAAGGACAGCAGAAAGAATGCAATTCCATTTGGTACATCTGGAACGTCCAAGAAGAAAGGGAATGGTTTACTTACTTTTCGCATGCACCCTTTCTGTACTTTTCTGCCTGATATATTTTCGCACCTCTGTCATACCATGATTTCGTGTAATTGGGGTCGGATTTCCATTTCCTTTGATGTTTCAAACTCTTCAAGTGGCACAACAAGTGAATGTCAAAAAGGTGCCTAGACAATCAAGAAATGCTACACTGACTAAAGCTATAAACAATGAGAAAACACATACCGGTCTCTCTGCATTGAGATACCAAGGAGCTGAAGACATATACTGAGGAATGTGAGGATTGATTTCTTTTCCATCCTCATCCACTTCAGCCGGTGCAAGACCAGCCTTTCGCGCCTCTTCCAATTCCAACTGTTTCCTATGGTCCTCTCTAGACTTGAAAGCCACTGCATTTTTTACAAAACCATAATTGCATCAGATAAATGTAAGATTTTGATAAGGAAGCAACCACCCTTTTATGAAACAACTTTAGGCAGCATGAACTTGACCAATTAAAGTATCAAACCTTAATTGGGGTTTTGTTTCTGAAAAGTTTCTTTTGAAGTTCTAGAAAAACATTTCTGAAAAACATGTGTTAATTTGTTTGTAGGACATCTTTTTCAAAAACTTTATTTCTCATTGAAAAACTCTTCTTCCACTAACAAACACTCACAAATCTTCAAAAAAAACTATTGAACACATTTTTCGTTTGAATAAACTTTTTCTCCAAAATATCGTTTCAAAAACTTTTCCCAAAAGTTCTCAAAACAGCTCCTTAACATCAATTGCAACTGAAGCCATGATAAATCTATTATTCCAACTAAATACAAATTAATTCGGATGTTAGAAAAATACAGCAACAACAACTACAACAATAACTATGCCTCAAACAAGGGCGGAGCTAGCCTTGAAAATACATGTTCGGCCGAACCACTAACTATGATTCAAACTTTGTATTTGTCTTAAGAAATCCATCTAATAAATACAAATTACCAATTTAAGACCCAATAACTTAATAGGGCTTGAATCCCGAACCTATAAGCTTCAAATCATGGCTATGCCTCCTCAATCCCAAACATATACATCCACTATATATTCATTCTTTTTTTTTCTTCTCCAAAAATCCACCATATCCATTCAACTCTTTTTAGGCCCCTACTATTCCAATACTAATTAAATTTTAAGATAAATTAGGAAACTAAAACCTACAAAACCTTAAAACAGCAAAAGTTAGCTACCCCTAAATACCAAACATATAAGTCCGCTATATCTTTGTTTTGCTCTTTCTCCAAAAATCCATCATAGCCATCAGCTCTATTCGAACCCGCATCATTCCAATACAATTAAATTTTAAGACAATTCAGGAAATTATGACCTAAAAATTTGTACTTACAAGCAAATATTAGCACATCGCAACAAAGAAAATACGCGTACCTGAAGCAGTAGCCATGATTAGTTCTGTAGATGCAAATTCCTATGAGAAATCAGAGAGGATCGAATACCAAACCCTTGAAAGATTCAAGCAATGCGCTGATTGTTTGATTGGCTTTCCGGTTTTCGGTTTTTATCCCTTTCAAGGTAGAAAGGCTCGGGTTTGTTTTATTGGACCCAAAAATTAGAAAAATTGGCATCCTATAACAACCCATAATAGGAATTGGCAATTTTTTAGCCTTATATTAAATTTAGCAAAGATAGCCCCAAACAATTGGCATTATATAGCCAAATCCTAAAAAAAACTACTCTCTTTTATATTCTCTCTAAAAAAAACTACACGCTTATTTTAGCTTCCCTTTCCTTTTCTCTCCTTGTATTTCTTCTCTATCTCTTCTCTTTTGCTCTCATAGTTTAGCAAAAATTCTTGCAAATTATACAAAAAAAAAAAATCAGTGGGATAAAAAGGTAAGGTTGATCTCACATCAGATATAGCATATTTAAGCAAGTTCTAAAATATAAAAATAATAAATATAATTGTGGGAGTAAATAATATTTTAGTATACAAAGAAAATTAATTTTTGATGTACAGAAAGAAGAAAAATAAATTTCTCATATCTATTTTGGTATACATATGTCCCGTGTGCTATACGCTATAATATACAAATTATATAATATTTTTATTGTGATATATATTTATATAAAGGCAGCAATAACTATATATATAATTTTATATTATTGATATACAAAGAATAATATTATTTATATACAAAGAATGAAAATAAAATTTTAATATACATGTTGGTATAGACAAAGAAGAAGAAAAAGTTGTGATGTACATATTATTATTGTGATATATATTTATTGGCTATTTGATACCAATATCTATAATTAGGGCTATTTTCTGCCAATTATATGAGTATGTTGTTATATCATGCCAAAGCCCCAATTAAATATTTGAAGCCCAGGACCATTTTTGTTGGGCCTGTATCTGGGCTTTCAAGCGGCTTGGACATATTCTAAGGGAAAACAGATGTCCAACCCAAAAAGGTAGAAATGACACCAGGTAGCCAATATAAAGGTTGCTATTTAGGAATTAGCTAGTACGTCCTGAATTTTAATTTATCGGTTCAATTTTTCAGGACAAAAATGTCGTGAAAAGTTAGGATTTTTAGTTTAAAATTTCAGGATAATATAAGTACTGGCTAATTTCTAAATAGCATCCCTGAAAATGGCTATCTGTGCTCTTGCCCATGAGAGCCCAAAGAGCTTCCCTGTGCCAAGTTTTTATCTGGGCAAAATATAAAAATTGGCTGGTCGGCCAAAACTAATTGTATTTGCTAACCAAAAAGTATATAAAATATGTATGTTTTTCATATATAATACATATATATACAAGAAAAAAAAATTGTTGGCTATATTTTGGATTGGCCAAAAATATGCAATTCTCTTTATATTTTGGAAAAGAGCATTAATACCCCAAATTCGAGTCGACTTTTCAATTATATATCCAATCTTTCCTATACACCTCTTGGACTTTTTTGAGATGGAATAATTACACCCATGAGTTGATAACGTGTATATCACCATTTTTTAAGCAAATCTGAATATCCTGTCTCATTGTGGTAATGTGTTCACTTCACAATAGTTTAGGGTAATAAGATTCTCGCAAAAATCGAGCGTGCAACTAAAAATTCGTCTCATGTCTGAGGGATACTTATGTCTTTTCCTTTTTAATTTTCCTAAGAAAAGTGAAAACCACTTCGTAAGGAATTTACATTTTGATTCTGTCTTCTTTCTTTTCTAGTAGCTTATATGAAAGAAATTACCAAAAAAAAAAAAAGAAATTATATGAAAGTAGGAAAATTCCAATTTGATAACATCGATTTGAATTTGTAATATTATGGTACAAATTGTGCCTCCTGAACTGTTTTTTTCTAGTTGTGTAAGCATAGGTGTCCAATCTTTGCTATCCTTAATCAAGCTGTAGTTAAATATATACTGTCAAATAATTCTGTGACAATACTACTACTGAATAAAGACAACCTTTGATATAGTCTATTCTTTCAGTTAAGTTGACCTTTGCAATATTGCCAAGTATATATATATATATATATATATATATATATATATATATATATATATATATATATATAAGAAAAAGGATCTAGCTCAAAGCATGCATATTCATTTCAAAAGTGTGGGCTTTTGGTCACATGAATTATAATATGTTTTTAAACTTTAATTTGTGATGAGGAAGTTTAAGAGGATCTTAAAGCAAATTCATTTCACAAAAGTTACAAGTTCTCCTCTGAACTCTTCTAAACCTCTTTGTTAAGTTGCATTTACTAATTAAAAATCTTACTCCTACTTCAAGAGGATGATGAGTCACAAGGTCATGAAAATGAAGTTCTCAAAATCACATAAAAACAATTTTATTTAACGATCATATACCGTCACACCTCTCTATAACAACATACCTATTTAACAACACTTCACTATAAAAGCCAAGCTTTTTTCAGAACCAATTTTCATATTATGTTATAATATTGTATGTTCTCTATAACAACACTTCGATATAACATCAAAAAATATTCGGAACAAACGACGCTGTTATATAAAGGTTTGACTGTATTCGGTATTCGTTTGAACAACTTATTCGAATTTGTGTAGGGTAGGACCCATTTAAGTTAGAAGCGCTTCCTATCAAATTTCGGGCGATGTGCACAATTAGCCACTAACAGCTCATGTCTTTATTTTAAAGCCAGTGTTTTAAATGTCTTTAGTCTTTAGCCACTGGTTTAATAAACTTTAACTGCCGGACGAAAATACCCTTATGCTCATGTCCTTAACTTCAGGACTTCAGGACTACATGTCCTTAACTTTTGAACTTGAAATTCTAAGTTCAGGACTTCAAGACCTTAACTTTTTAACCTGTAACTCTAAGTTCAGGACTTCAGGACTACATGTCCTTAACTTTTGAACTTGAAATTCTAAGTTCAGGACTTCAAGACTACATGTCCTTAACTTTTTAACCTGTAACTCTAAGTTCAGGACTTCAGGACTACATGTCCTTAACTTTTGAACTTGGAACTCAAACTTCAAGACCAAGCGTCCTTAACTTTTGAACTTGTAAGTCAAAGTTAAGGACCTATTGTCCTTAACTTTTGAACGTGTAACTGTAAGTTAAGGACTGTCTGTCCTTAACTTTTGAACTTGTAAGTCAAAGTTAAGGACTTATTGTCCTTAACTTTTGAACTTGTAACTGTAAGTTAAGGACTGCTTGTCCTTAACTTTTGAATGTGTAACTGTAAGTTAAGGACTGTCTGTCCTTAACTTTGAACTTGGTAATCAAAGTTAGGACCTATGTCCTTAACTTTGAACTTGGAAATCAAAGTTAAGGACCTATTGTCCTTAACATTTGAACTTGTAACTGTAAGTTAAGGACTGCTTGTCCTTAACTTTTGGGCTTCTTAGCCTAAGTTCAGGACCTATAGTCCTCCAACTTTTAATTATTTTAACTACAAAATTAAATTAAATAGCAAACACACAATAAGGATAATAGCGTACAGTTGTGTAATAAAATTAAAATTATATTATATTTAGTTACGTTTCGATGCTTTTTCAACTTTACGTTTTCGAACTCATTCAATGCGTTCTCCGAAGAATTCAAGTAAAAGTACATCGGTTGATCTTCTCGCGATTGCTTTTTTTTCTTGTTCTTTTTATAAAACGTGATTTAAACCCAAAAAAATACATTAAAAAAAGGGATTAATCGTGTAAAACAAATACAGAACTTCAATGCATCAGAATATATACTTAACATTTTTACACTACTGTCGATGATGAAGATGATTCTACTGGCAAGAAGAATGGCGTATACTTCAGGAAATTTAACACTAATATAATGATGTTGACCTTGTTGAATTAGAAATCGCCATTGCAAGTAGGCAGGTGATTTTCAAAGTTACAAGGCTTATCTATGAACACAGGCATGCATCGAACTGAGAGGGAGAGAAGCGTTTGGGAAGAAAAGCAATGGAAGAAAGGGTAACTCAGTCTTTTCATATTAATTTTAATAGACTAGTGGCTAGTTTTGCTCAGCATTAAAAATGGTGGATAAAAAGTAAATACCACTTTAAATAGTGGCTACCCCACACAATTTTACTTATTGGTTCTCTCAATATAATATAATTTAAATTTTACACATTGATAATATATATATATATAAACACTTTACTTATAAACTTGAATACGGTGAAATCAGGTGCCCCGATTTTGCAGGCTCGAAGGTTCATATCGAGGAACAGAAGGCTCGCGTCGAGGAATAGACTCACTATGGACCGAGTTCGAGCCTGAGGACGGAGTCGAGGCTCGAAGAATTAAGTGTTCGAGGAACATCGGAGCCTAATATGACCAGCCTCGAGATAATGCCGTTATGGATTTGTAACAGAATGAGCAAGATTCCTGCCACGTCCTCAAGATCGTGGCATAAATCCCGGAATAGATTTGTACGAATCCGTACTAGGCGGTTAGACACCTGTCCCAATAAGATTCTTTACTGTAAATAGAAATGTACCTTATTTAGGGTTCCCCTATTATATAAAAGGGACCCCAATAATTTGTAACCATCATCAATCATTAGCAAAGAATATACTCTCTTACTTTTTGGCTCATATTTCATCTGAATCATCTCTTTACTTAATTGTTCTTGCTTACTGTTCTTAACCAACCTCGAGGCCACTTTAGCTCGAGGTCGAGGCTGTCTTGCACGCTGGTTTGATTCTACTTATTTCCTTCATTTACACGCTAGTTTTCTTGGTTATTAATTAGTATTGAACTAAATCACATATCTTTAAAACTATAAATCAAATTTAATTGTTACTCGTATTTTCGAGGTAAACAGTTTGGCGCCCACCGTGGGGCTAAAGATAATAGTGATTATTTCAGTACTGATTCTGATAACACAAGTTATTTTCACACTTGTTCTTGTCAAGAATTTTTATTTTCAGGTTAAAAGATGTCAAACTCGCAAAATGCACCCGCACACGGTGAGAGGGTCTTGGATTTCATGGGGAAAACAACAATGTAGGGGTCGGTTTACCATCGATTAACCCTGTGGAAGTGCCAAATGGGGAACCAGTCGATGTTAGTTCACATATTGCTTTGGACGTGGATTTAGGCGCG